ATATATATACACACACACAAGGTAGGTGGTTGGCGGGTGCTCCGGTATATATATATATATTATGTGTGTGTGTGTGTGAATATATATACAGGGTGATCCAAATAAAATGTATAGCTTTTTTTTCTAAATGTCTCGCCCAAATTTGTACTTTATCTAGAATGTTGCAACCTGGAACAGATATAATTCATTCAAAAGGAATTTGTTCGATATAAAATTCAAAAAGAAGAAACTTATTTTGGAAAACGAAAATGGCTTTTATAAAAACCACGTATAATGCACCAATTTAAAAGATCTCGTAAGGAAAGTCGTGAAATGATTGGTTGGTTTTTTCATTTCCTTTTATTTTCAAAATCTAATTTTTCCATCCCTGTAACCTTTAAACAATTTTTCTTTTCTCCAACAAAGTTAGAAAAATATTTTTATTTATTTCTGGAATTCCGAGAACCAATTGTCTTTTTATGTCCTCCTTTGGACGAGACACATTTTAACGCGTCGTTCATAATGATCAGTGGTGGCTAAACACAAGGATCCACGCAACCATGAGTGCTCGAAGCCACACACCCTGTACATCTTACCGTATGGAGCTGTTTCTAGAGACAATTGGGGGGGGGGGGGGGGGGGGGGGGGGTGCCCAAATAGACAGCATTTGTGGAGTTGATATAACCTGAATGGTGAATATGTGCTTTGCCAAGGAACCAAATGTCATAGACGAATTGTTCACGCTTTTCAAGACGATCGAGGAATGATGAACTCATTGTTATCCTCTGATACTGATAGCTTCGCGAACGGGAAAATGGTACAGTCGTAGATGAAGATCTGCCTTGAGAATGCAGACCGTTGAGATGAAGGAAAGTCATTGCTGCAGACATCGTCTACGGACAGACGTCTCATGGGGCTTCTGAATTTTGAACCCTGGTGATGTTTAAAGGGGTGTAAGTGTGTTTGATCTGAAGTGGTCGTCTTGTCTGGGAATTTTTAGATCTGATTCTCTACTAGTCCTAACTGATGGACCATTTAATTTTCACCCTTGACACCAAAGAAGGCCTTAAGGGTACTTTAACACTACAGTATTTCCGTACCTGTGCTAAACTTACGACATGAGTTGGTGGTGAGGAAACGTTCTATACAAAAAGCTCTCTGCTCTTTACTAATCTTAATCGTGATCTCAACAGGCAAAGGAAACTTGAGAAAAACTATTTGCAAACTTCTGTTGGCCTGTTGTTTGACTGCTGTAGCTTGCAACATGGCGCAATCGTGGGGATTTTTAGCGCTATGCCTAATGCGAACTAGTGTGTCGTGCTACAAAAATGTGGACAGAGTTGAAAATGGTTTGGGTTTTTTTTATACGCTTTGTAGAGCAAAACTGTTATGAGGATTTATCTAAAGGAATATCAGATGAATTCCTTTTGACTTCCAAATGTTGTGTACAAATTTGAAACGCACAACTTAATTAAGTGTGCAGGAAAATATTAACAAAAAAACTTGAACAGTTTGTTTGTGTTTGGATCACCTTGAAGTACTAGTAGGCCTACTAACGCCACAGACATACGTGGGTGGGTGGTTGGACGGTGCTCTGGTGTGGTTTGCTCCTTCTTTCCTATCAAACATCTATAGCCCCTATCTCCCCTCCCTTTTTAAAATTTTGCTACTCTCTTATAACACCTCTAATGTTTTGGCGCTCATATGACCTTATGCAGTTGCGAGCGCCGTAAAACCTGTACTAAAACAAAGACTTACGTGAGCGAAGGAGGAAGAGAGATCCACACAGAAGCGACGTGGCAGACAGACGCCTCCAGACGGGAATGACGTCTCTCTTCCCACTTCTGTTTCTCGTCACCGGTATCAACAATTCTAAAATATGCCTCGCATGTTCTCCCAGGTATGATTCTAGTGTCACGACACAGTGGAATCAGGCGCTCGTCAGTTTTTCGCCACATTATTGAGTCATTGGTGTCATCTTTACCCTATCCGTACGTCGTGGTTTACTATCGTCACTATCGAATTGATACGACGTACGTGGAACTCTGTGCCACCACTTTCCAAAGAGGAAATTTACTCGTTAATCCGATCCGTACGCTTTGCCTTGCAGTCTGTCAAAATGATTTTTTTGAGAAATACTGAACGTTTCAAAGCGATCTTCGTACTAAGAAGTATTCTGAAATGTGAAGAATACAACCCCGGGGCTACAATATGACCCCATGTGGCGTAGCTTACGGATAGGCTAAAGCTTGTTCATTTTCCCTACTTTTGGGGGAGGGGGG